AATTCAATTTTATACTGTATATGAGGCAATTTTTTATAAAATTTATTAAAAATAAATACCTTTAAATATAAAAAGAAAAATTGTGTTATACCCAAATTTGGAGACATGCACCTGTTAAATATCATCAGTTCAATTCAATAAAATTGAGATTTATTAAGAGAATTGCACATGCATTGTAAATTTATTGCATTAGTGTATATGTGTAATTGTATAAATAATCACAAAAACTATGATGTATACACAGAGAGAAAAAATTATTTTTTGTTATAATTTATTTTTTATATTGTCATTGTGTGTTTGTGCGTATGTGTGGACATAAAGTTTTCATTTTATATATGGAAAATTTCAAAATTCCATTGAATAAAATTATACAAAAAAATGTTATGATTTTTTTTTTTTATAATATAAATAAAATTATTTTTGTTTTTTTATTAAGTATTTTTTAAATTTTCGCTGTTACGACAACAAATGCCATTGTATTTTTTATTTTCCTTATTAAAATTTACACAATTTTTATTATTACTATCGTATATAAAATGAATAATGAATATTGAAGCATGATTTGTTTCAATTTATTTGCTAATAAAATTAATAATAAATTTAAGTAATAAAATGGTTGCATCTTTAATTCATCAACTTGTTATATGAATGCATAAAAATGCATAAAATTAAATTCATTTATAATGTGGGAATATGTTTGACAAGGTTACATGTACAACATAAAATTTTTTTATTTGAGTTTCTATACGCATAATTTTAAATGCATTGTTACATAAATATTAAACAGTTGAACTCTAATTAAAAGGAGTTCCAAGAAATTTGAAATTTTCTTTCCAGTGCTCGAGATTTAGTTTTGAATTTTCTCTCTTATAAGAGCAAATATAAACTAAATCTCCGACTAATATAGAGAAAATTCAAAACAGACTATGAAAATAAGTTGAGTAATAGGAGTGAATCTTTCTAATTCAGGTTCTACTGTATATGTAAATAAATGACAATAAAAAAAATTTTTTTTAGCAAGATTTTCCTTCAGTAAATAATATTATTTTTCCATATTTTTTTAATAGATTCATTGACAAAAGGATCAATTTTCTTCTTTAGGAAATGAAAAATTTCATGAATGAAATGTTAAATTAAAATAAATGTTATTATTGTTATTTAAAAAAAAAATACCTTTTAGGGGGTGTTTATACATTGTTATACCATAAAGAGGTGGATAAAACATGGTAAATACTGTGGTGAAGGTGTATGGGAAAATTTGTATTATATACAGAAATTATAGAAGTATATTATTTGATATTAAAAAAAATATATTCAGATTTATGATAAATATATTAAGAAAACATTTTACGAGAGCTTTCGATAAGCTCATCTCAATTGGAGGCCTTAAAATTCTAATAATTTTAATAAATTTTGGAATACTAATCAGTAATTATTCATTTAACGTCATCTATATACGTTGCAAAGAGATTAATTAACAGGTGATAGTAATAAATTTTGTCATTATGCTCATAATTAATTTTAAAATACAATGATGCTCATACTCTCACTTGTCACACTCTCATACTAAATTACATTCATTTGTCACACACTTAAACTAAATTTTATATAGTACAGTGAATTACTCTCACATAGTAAACGCGTGAAGTCTGAGTCAATTTTATCTTCGAGAAAATTGGCTAATATTGTGAGGAGGAACTCTATTATTGTGGTATTGTGAGTTGATTCTAGTGTTATTGCAGCTTAATGATTAGGTTATTTGTAACTAAAATTAAAATATGTAACCTATTAAGTTATTGGGTAGTAAAAATTTAAGAGAATCATTTTTTTTTTTGCAATTTTATTATTACTTATAATACGAGCTTGATTTGTATCTTTCATTACATTATTTAAATTGACCCGAAAAATATAAGATTTTATGAGGATTTTATATACGAAATTAAAAAAAAAAAAATTGTAATTACTCCACACAATTTTTGAAAATAAAAGTGTTACAGAGTGCTTGTTGCTTATATACACATAAAATTTATTGGCTATATAAAAAGATACAAAATTTTGCATAATCGAAATTTTACAACACAGACAAAATGAAATTTTTTTTTTCTTTCAAAAACTCTTCTTATTTTTAATTCAAGATAATTTTATAAAATTTTAACAACACTTAAAATCTTATATGGCGCCAATAATACGCTTAAGTATTTAAATTGTTCATCATTATTTTTATTCGGTACATACACAAAACAAAGTTATGCTTACTCCTTTGTATATAATTTTAATAAATTACGGTACATACACAAAACAAAGTTATGCTTACTCCTTTGTATATAATTTTAATAAATTATAAACTACATACCATATTACTCGTATATATATGCCTGTATGAAGCTACATTTATAATGAAATTATTAAAAAAAAAAAAATATTTTCTTGTAACACCTTTTTATTGGAATTTCCATAAAAAATTTCATTTATACTTGGATTATACGTGAACGTGTATATGCTCGTACTACTTTTTAAACTTACTCTTACTTTATGTGTAAATCCAATATATATGTACTTATAAACGAAAATAGAATTAAAAAATATTTAATATATCAGTTTGAATTTATTATATAAAACTGACTATACATATATATACGAGTACTTTAATAATAAAGTTAATAAGAATCCTGTTTGTCCTGTTTTAATTTCTTGTCTCTTATATTAATTTTTCTTTTCATTGTATATATAAATAAAAATTGCCTAAAGTGTATATTAAGCCAACAACATTTTTCTGTCAAATATTTTCTATATTATATTTTTAAATATTAAATAAAAAGAAACCGGTAATTTTTTCAGCTAACTTTTTTTTTGTAAGTTAAAAGTCTAAGAATAATAAATTATTTATGATAATAATCATTAAAAATGTTTACAATGATGAGCAAAAATATTGTATACAAATTTGAAATTTAATAGAAGATTTATGTAAGTAGTTCTTCAGTGGGTTTCCTATACGTGCGTGTAATTATTTTCAAAATTAATTTCAAATATTTCCAACTAAATTTGAATCAAGATTTGTAGATTCTAATCTGCAACAAGCGAGGTTACAGTGCACCGCGACCACTTACATTAGAATCTATTATGCGTCTCCCCTCTCTGAATGATGGGTATGCTCTACAACACACTCTCGAAATCTAACAATAACTTCGATTACATAATCAATAAATTTTCGTTATTTTCAATTATGATAATTGAAATTACCAAATCCCGAATAATATTTTCCCTTTTATATACAACGAGAAAAAAAATAGAGTTGACCATGTCAACTCTGTGATACCCGTACGAATTTGTTGTCATATGTGCGAATAAAGATGCCATAACTGACTATGGGACAGACTATGACTTTATGTTGCCGTATATTAATTTATGCAAAATTTCAGTACTGTGTTTTTCAAAATACTGTGTGTGCCAAACTACTTTTAAAGTTGTATGGCAGGTACCAGAAGCAGCCAAGTAATTTCAACGACTTTTATCAGACACATTGGCCCTACTAATATATTCATTTGTGCGAAATTTCAATACCATAGCTTTTATAGTTTCTGAGATATAGCCAAATAACTTTTGAAGTTGTATGGCAGGTACCAGAAGGAACCAAGTAATTTCAACAACTTTTATGAGACACAATGGCCCTAATAATATATTCGTTTGTGTGAAATTTCAATACCATAGCTTTTATAGTTTCTGAGATATATCCAAATAACTTTTGAAGTTGTATGGCAGGTACCAGAAGGAACCAAGTAATTTTAACGACTTTCATGAGACACATTGGCCATAATAATATATTCATTTGTGTGAAATTTCAATACCATAGCTTTTATAGTTTCTGAGATATATCCAAATAACTTTTGAAGTTGTATGGCAGGTACCAGAAGGAACCAAGTAATTTTAACGACTTTTATGAGACACATTGGCCCTAATAATATATTCGTTTGTGTGAAATTTCAATACCATGGCTTTTATAGTTTCTGAGATATATCCAAATAACTTTTGAAGTTGTATGGCAGGTACCAGAAGGAACCAAGTAATTTTAACGACTTTTATGAGACACATTGGCCCTAATAATATATTCGTTTGTGTGAAATTTCAATACTACAACTTTTATAGTTTTTGAGATATAGCCAAATAAATTTTGAAGTTGTATGGCAGCTACCCGAACCGGTACCCTGATCATGTCCAATTTAAATAGGGTTCTGGCACTTACTACAATAAATCATTTGTGAAAATTTGGTGAACTTAGCTCAATTAGTTTTTGAGTTATCGTTCGGACGGACGGACGGACGGACAGACAAAGCTAAATCAACTCAGAATTCGACGCTGATCAAAAACATACACTTGAGTCTATATCTAAGACCGTTATTTCTCAACGTTACAAACGGTAAGGCAAATTTAGTATACCCTTCGAACATACGTTCGTACGGGTATAAAAATATGAGTTGATACTTCAAATTTTTTAACAAGTACTGTGTGACACAAAAATAAAAATTTCACATCAGTTTGAAAAAAAATAAATCCTGTTACACACCCATATAGTTCTTCTTCCGATAAAAGGCTTTTTTTTTTTTTATAAAATTTTTCTTTATGTTTTGCTTAATTTATGCAAGAGTTAGAAAAATACCGTTAAACTAGTTTTTTTTTCGTTTTCTTTATTAATATGTACTGCATGTGCTTGTCAGTATTAAGTATTAAAAGACGTATTTTTTTTTATTTTCTTTTTTTCAATCCATATATCAATATTTTATGAAAATTATAAACACTTTATATCTGCAATTATACAAGTCCCATAGATCTATCAAAGAATAATCATAAAGAAAAATAAAGCAAAAATGTGTTTAAAAATAGAAGCGCAGCCTTGATTTCTAGTGTTTTTTTCACTGATTCTTTATACTTAGAGTAAGATTATTTGAAATAACTTGTAAACAATATTAATGGGATCTCTTTGGGTGTTATGGTGACTTACTTACCACATGATTTATATTTAAAATTGTTTTTGGTTTTTTGTTTTCTTTCTTTTCCTAATTTACAGATGATTTAACGGGTTAATCCAGATGTTTGGCTAGTTTTTTTTGTTTTTTACTTCTTGCTATAAAATTTAATAGTTAAAAATTTATTTGAAACACAATTAAAATTGTTTACACTGAAAAAGAAATTTTGGTATCACGTTTTTTCATCTTAGAAACAATTTAAAGGTCACTTTTTTTCTTTATGCATTTTCAAAATTTTTAAAATATTTTTTTAGTTGTTGTTGTTATTTTGTAATTAACTTAATAATTTTTTCCTTGTTTACAGGAAGAAAAATAAGAAAAAAATATACTGAATAATTAATTATTTTTGTTTTGCGTTTGCACGTTTAAATTTTCAAACTCATTTTCACGAAAATAAAATAAAAATAATTTATTAAATTTTCTGCAACATTAAATTTCAAATTTTATTTTCTTTTAATTTTTATTTATTTGAAAATTAAAATTTTTAAAGTGAATTTTTTAAAATAAAAATTCATTCAAAATTATTTATTTATTATGTTTTTTAAATTAATTAATTAATTTTACGATCATAAAAAAATTTTTTAAAATATAAAAATTATATTCATAAAATATTTCCAATTAAATTTGTTACTAATTGTAACTATTCACGACCGGTGCTTACAAATGACTGACTGAATTTATAATTTTGTTTTTTAGTTTTAATAACTTTTTTTTTTCTGCTTTTCTACTCTTCCAGTTTAAAAAATTCCAATTCCAATTGAAAAAAAATTGAGCTGACAGTATTACTTAATTCTCATTTCTCAAAATTAAAAAAATTACTCAATTACTATATAAGACATAAGAAAGCACAAAAGTGAGACTGCAATTCTCTCTCGAACTTTTTAAATTTTTCATTTTATTTTTTCTTTTCTCTGGTTTTTTTTATTTTCTGTTGAATAACTTGAGTTACCATACCAGTTAACACTAGTTTGATTGTTGTATATATAGGTCTTTATTACTTATTTTTATTTCCATCGAAAATATAGGTGAATATTGGATTTATAATATTTTATTTTGTGATCTTATGAAGCCAACAATAATGTTTTACTATATGCTTGATAAAAGGGATCGTTTGAAAACTTTATATTACGACTACTATATGAGTAATTGTTTTTAGTTATACATCTTATTTTGTATTTTTATTGTATAAGATAAATAAATAACAATTTGGCCCAAATTTCCAGAATTCCAAGAGAATTTATGGAAAAGAAAAGATAAAAAATTCGTTGGAAAACAGTGATTGCTTTTATTGTTGATATATGCACGTTAGCGTTTGCATTTCATCATCTATAGCTATATTTACAGCTAAATTTTCTTCCACAATTTCTTCTGTTTTTCTATATTTATTTCTCTTTTATTCATTCTTCTTTTATTTACTAGTTTCTGTTTTGAATCTTTAAATATATTATGATGCTTTTCGAACACGTTTTTATAGTCTTTCTCAATTATTTTATCTTACATCATTATTTACTTCATATGTACATGAATTATAAGTGTTGTCGTCCAAATTATATATAGATAATCGTAATATAGTTATCTTACTACATTTATTAAATTTACTGAATCAGTTTTATATTAAAATTGATTATTGTTTAAAAAGTCAAGCGCGTTATTGTTTTAAAAAACCCATTTAGGGTATTTACGATATTTGAAAATGAAAATTTGCCTACTTACAGGCGTTTTCAGTGAAAAAAATTATGATTTTAATGAAATTACCTGTAAAACTTAAAAAAAAAGTATAGCACTAATACAATATAACATTTATAAAAATTTAACACTTATACAAATATAATATTTATAAAAATATAACATTTATAAAATGAAAATAAAAATTTCGCTCTTAATCTAAAAATTGTTTAGTGATTTCTTTTTCATAATCTATTGCATATTAGTCTCGTAAAGTATTTTTACGAGACTAATTTACGTACACGTAATTTACTTGAACGGCAACACTATTATTAACTGATCGCAAATTATGTTAATAACATAATATTTATATTTTTTTTTTTGTTTTCGGTCTAATTTTAGTTTGAATATTTCAATTAAAGGTGTATATATACATTAAAATACAAACTGGATATTAAATATTATTATATACTTTATATTATGGACAAGTAAAATTTAACAAAAAAAAACAACAACAAAAATATAAGAAAAATAAGAATAATGGTTATGTTTTGCACGTGTACGTGAACAATCGTTACGTGCATATTATAAATATATTTTTTTTTTCTTACATTATTTAATTTCATATCAAATATACCTATAAGGTATAAAATTAAAATTTATACCTTATAGGTATATTTGATAATAATAACAATAGTAATTTTAAGCATACCTTTATGATATAATTGTACTATATTTGTAATGAACCTGTTAAATGGAAGCAACACCATTAAGGTATAAAAAGTGTTTTTAAAAAAATGCCTACGAGACTCAATGCTCGTTTAATATTCTTTCATCTACATAGCCTATATATATATTTCAAATATTTGTTAATAATTTGTATTGTATATGATTTTTTGATTATATATGAAATTTTTAAAAATTTTTTTTAAAAATTAATTTCAAAGAAATATTTGTACTTATTGTGGTTGCCGATTTGTATTTGCATTTCATGCAAATTAAATTAAATTTTCTAGTATTAATGATGTGCTAATGGTAACTTTTGATTGATGATGAGAAAAATTGGTTTTTTTTTGATTGACTTATCTCTATTGCATTGAGAAGGTGTTAATTATTTTTTTAATGTATCACATGTATGAGCTTTATTTAGAGAAAATTAACACCTTTAGTATGTAAATCTTTTCAAGATAACATTAATTTAAAAATCTATTACAAAATTTTTGTTTATTGTGTTAATTATTGTACTCATTTTTTTGCATTATAGTTAATGAAAATGTTACTTAATCGTCTTGGGTTTTCCTATATAAAATTATTCAAATAACGTTTTGGAATTCGTGATTAAAATGAACTTTTTCGATTGCAGTTTCACATAATATTTAAACTAAATGACCAGCTTCTTTTAGTCGTAGTCCTAATTTTCTTCATATTTAATGATGACTGTAATCTGATTTGAAAAGGATTTCATTTTTACGGAATTCTCAAAAATGCTGATTGTTATCGTGGCAGCATGAGATTTTAATTTAATTCAATTATAATCCATAATTGTATAAATTTAATATTATGGCTACCTTAGCAGTTACTTGATCCCAATAAATATCAAATAAATCTTATTCTCTATTCCTAATTTTCATGAAAATCTTCTTCTTTATCTGTCACAATTATATAACGATTTTTCAATTATCAACATTCCATACCGAAAACAAAATACGAGATAGTAAAATGTTGATACTGACAAAAACAATAACAATGAAAAAATGTAGAGCAACAAAATTAAAATCAAAAAAAAAAAACTTGCAATTTTTCTTGGATCATGAATTTAATTTTTTAATTTTTTATCTCAGTAACCGGTTCGTTACATAGTTAAAAATACCAAAACACTATAAAGAAAAAATTTATTATAATAAATTGTAATAAAAAATATAACAGTATAACAGTTACTATTACAGTTTCATTTATATTTGTTTTTGGTTATAAAATATATTTTTTTAAAAATTTGTCAAAATTTTATGTAAATTGTAGTTTAATGCATCTTACCGAAATGTGGTTAAAAATTAGCAATATATTTCATCAGGTCAAACAAGGGCAAACCAAAGATTTGCATAAGTCGAATGATCCACTAATGCAATTTATCTCATAGGTTCAAGAGCTCAAGAGCTCAAGAACAAATCATCACAATTGCACGAATTTTTTTTTGGCTTAATGTACTACAACTCATAAAAAGATGTAATATGGTTCTACAACTTCGTCCTCTGATGGAAAAGTGAATATAAGCTATCCGTAACCAATCCCTGTTCACGAATGTTATTATTGAGCCCACATGCTTCGTAAAACCAAAAATCGTATTTTGAATTTCCCTCCCTTTGTTTTGTTGAACTTTTGCAGCCATCTTGGCAGGTAAACTAAAGTAATAAAGAGTTTAGACTAAACCATGACCAACTCCCCATGTTCTACGCTTCAAATTTTATCGTAAAAAATTACGGCAAATCCACATTATCGTAATCAAATATTCAAATTCGCATATCCTTGAATATTTTATTAGAATAGATTAAGATTCATACATTATGTAAGTATATACTTTCAGTATAACATTTTTGACTCCACAACTGAATTATTTTTATTTAGTGTTCGAAAACCTACTAATAAATGAAGAAGTATATAAGAAAACGTTAAAAATTTATGAAATTTATAATAAACTGAATAAGAATTATACGGTCGTAAAGTTCATAAAATGTAGTTTAATGTTATTGATGATCGTAAGTGTCAATATAAAACACATAATAAATATTCAACAAATAAATTATTACAATACCGTAACAAAGATTACAAAAACGTACATTTAAAAAACGCAATTTTTAAAGTAAAAACAAAGAAAAAAAACCAATAAAGGAAAATTATTTTTTTAGGTCAGTATGACATTGCACTTGCTTAAATAAAATATATGCGAAATATTGCAATTATGCTTTTATTATTAAAAATAAAAACTCTTAAGTAATTATCGTAAAAAATTGCATTAAAAATTATAATTTTTAATTTAAAAAAAATATGAATTTATTAATATTTTTAATCAAATTAAAAAAGTTGGAATTCATTTAAGGTGATCTTGAAATTGCTAATTATAAAAATTAAATGTCGAAAGTAAATGGAATTGATTTCAGTCCTCAAATGCAAGAAGTAGAAGTTTTAATGTTAATAATCATTAGCAATATATTGTTATATAAAATAATTATATTGATAAATTATTGAAAATTCAATCAATTTCATTTAGTTGGAAAACCATTAAGAGCACTACTAACCATGGTAAGCTTCAGATAATTTTAATTATAAATTGCATTCTTCTTTGATTTTATACAATTTGTTGTGGCTTCAATGTACTGTCAAAGAATATTATAGATTTATATAAAATAATTTACTATTGTAGGAAGAAAAGAGCTTAATCAGTCGCCTAAAACCATACACTTTAAAGGAAGACAGTAAGAAGAAATGAAATTAATACAATCAAAAGTAAATTTAACATATTTTAAGCCTTTTCTCTAATAAGAACATGTATTTTCTAAAAAACACAATTCCATAATGTGTTTTTGCCTGAAAATATGCAATTTTTTTTCATTCTAGAATTTTTTAATTCTGTTTGAATTCTTAACTTTAATGACTTTTAACTTTAATGAACTTTCAAAT